TCTGGCAATTTCGAGAGAAAGCCTCAGAAAGCCCACCACCGCTGCATCTCGATTCTCACTTGTGATGACTCAATTCTCTGAGACTGTAATCAAAGTAATTAGCACCGGTGGTAATCAGCCCCGAACGGATCTTGTCTCTCTTTTTGCCCACAGATCATTTCACATCCCATGTTTTTATTTGAAAATAATCTCTCATGCACAGCTTGTCAATGATTGATCAGAGTTGGTGAGCCAAATTTCAATTAACTGCTGGGTGCTTTCAGTCATGATATAGATTCACATGTTATTTACTAGTATTTGCCCGCAATTTTAGGGAGTTTGACTTGTCAACCTAGTTTTTGCCCTGGATGTTGGGGGGTTTTACTTAATGACTGCTTGCCTCTTTTGGAGGTGTTGCTTGAATTGGGCTCCTGTCTTGGTCTAGTGTTGGTGTTGACAATTGTGAATTGGAGGTTGTTAGATTGCACAACACTTTGTTTGGCTCTCTGAGCCTATTCTTTTAGTTATATGTAGTTTTTCATTTTTTTTCCACACTGGTTATATCCATTATGTTAGGAGCTTCTGGTGAATTTAGTGATTAAAAAACAATGCAGCTCAATGACTGTGTTGCTTTGGATGAATGTTTGCTTGGCTCACAGAGTCTATTGGTGGAACCAGTTTACCCTCAGTTATAAGGATCAGTGGTGTCAGTGAAGAGTAAAATTATATATTAACCCAACAAATCATGGGTGAATGATGGCTCTCTGTTTAACCATGAATTTCATGATTTAATGAGTGTGATAACTCTCTTAAACTATATGATACATAATGGCTTGAAATTTTCTCTACAACTTAGAAATATATAATGGCTTCAAAGATTCTCTAGAGTAAATAGATATGTGGGAGAACTTCCCATTGGATCTAGATTCCTGCTACATGTTGATGTAACCCAAAACATCTAACGTTTTGTGGGAAATTTGGAATTTTTTGTCTCCAAATTGATTTTGGCAGGAAGTCATCCATGGTTTACATGAATCAAACAAATAATTGAAAAATAAAAATGGGAAGAATTTTGTCAAATTAATCATGTGTTGAAAGAATGATGTGAAACTAGTTTGGCAAGCAGTTGTGATTAGGCAGTCAACAAGTTTTTTTGATCGCAATTTTATGTTGAGTGGTAAAGATGGCCCCATGGGACCCGGGTACCCGTTGATACCCGGGTACTGGCTGCTTTTTTTGGCCAAAACGGACACCGGGTACTGCACCCGCTCAAGTATGACGGGTACCGCCTGGCTACCGGAGATTCTTCCAGGCAACCTGGTTGAGACCAATCAGGTTGCCAAGCAGGGCCCTTACCGGCGACCTGATTGGTCTTGATCAGGTTGCCGAGGAGAGGTCCTCTCCAGCAACCTGGACGAGACCAGTTAGTCTCGGTCAAGCCACCGAGGAAGGGGTTTGGGGGCGGGTACCCTTGAAGGTACCAGGGTACCGCCTGCTTTTTTGCCCAAAAGCAGGCACCGAGTACCGCACCCGGCACCACTTGGCAGGTACCGGAGGAGTGAAGGCGGTACCCGCCAACGGGTCCCGGGTACCGCCCAACGGGTACCGCAAGGCCATCTTTATTGAGTGGTTCAATCTATTTGCAGCATTGCTTTTTTTGCTCTTGATGTAGTTGAGAAACACCACAATGCAGCTGTGAGCTTCAGAGTGTGTCATGGAAGCACAAAGAAAACCAACACAGAGAGAAAAAGGCAACACCAGACACCTTTGAAACATGAGAATGTAGTTGTGATCTTGTCACAAGGTGGTGTGTGACCCTACAAATTCCTGATGTGAGCTTGCCTTTCAGCCAGTTTCATAAAATTTTGGTCAAGGAGGGCCGCTTGTCCAATCAGGGATGCAAGTGTGTTACATATCTGAGGTAGAGATGGACCTTGGCACTTGTTGGGGGGTACCTGTCACACTTTCAGAACAGGTCCTCCGCACTGCCAGCCACCAGAAATTCAGGTGGTGCAGAGGAAATTTCCTGAAAGTGTGACAGGTACCCCCAAAGAGATGCCAAGTGCCACATTTAATCTGAGGGGTGAATGGATCAAGGAAGAGAGAGAAGGAATGCAAGGAAAATTTCCCAATTTCCACAAGTTGATATGGTACAGAAGCTCTGGGGAAGCTTGTGTTTTTGCCCTGAATTTATTTGCACCTAGCTTCTGTGCAAAGTGACTGTGCAGAAAAGCATTTTTTAGAGTAATGTGAAGTTTTTCCCAAAGTTATGTTGTAGTATCCTGCATGCTAAATTGAGGCAGTCAATCAAGTGTTGCTTGCAGTGGAGGTAGTGTTAAGATCCCATTTGGATGTGAGGAGAAATGAAAACTAAAATAATTGAGTGCCATTGAATAGTGAGAAAAATAGAGCAAGGAAGTAGAAGAGAAAATACAAAATAAAGGGAGACAAGGTGCAAAACTGAGAAATCCCAGAATTCAGCTGTCATCTGGGGGTCATGTTGTGGCAGAAATGAGATGATAAAATCAAAATGTCAGTCAGTATACCCAAATACCATATCTTTCTATGCTAAGTGGAAGATTTTTACTAAATTTCCTCCATTTGGGGTGGAAGAGTTATATTAATGACACAGGTTCTGTCAAACACAAGCAGTACCAAGTTAAAATGCTGTGAAAACAAGTTTTTCAAGTAGTGTAGAGCATAATCTTACAATGCTTCTGAAATTCCATTGACTTCACTGTATTCATGATGAACAATATTAACACTGAAAGTGCATCTACTATTAAAATACATGAGTGACCAGGTCTATATCATCAACCAACATAACAGTTAGTTAAAAACAGCAATGCAGATCATTTAAGAGATGATCTCATTTAAACTTCAAATTCATCAATTTTAGCCTCAGTTGATACTATTTGTCAAGAAACTGAATGGATCCTCTCATTTATGGTTGGAATATTCCAAATCAAAAGTTCTAAATTAAATCAAGAGTTTGATCCAATTGTCATGGATTGATGTTGCCTATCAATTCCTCAAAGGAGGCAATACATATTTTTTCAAGCATGATTTTGAATCTTCACTGGGCTATCATCATCTTTCCAGGGTTTACAGACCCAGATTTAAACCTAAAAACATTTGATACTCTCCTCACAGATCCTCCTTCTTTCCCCACACCCATCTCCTTTCCCTTGTTCTTTGCCAACTATGTAATTTATTCCTCTCTCCTCTTTTACTGTGTTTTGCTCATTGCTTCTGTAAAAAAACACCACCTTTCTCCAAAAACCTATCAACCTCTTCATCAAAATTTCAAATTTTAATCATTCATCTCTAGACTCTACCTCAAAATCTCACTTGGCTCCTTGACTAGGTTCCTACTTGCAAGTTGTTGAGAGTGGTCTATTCACCTGGGATCGTGTCAACATCCTTGATCTAGTATTGGATTTGTTTCTACATGATACCACTAACTTTTCGGGAAGAATATGAAAGCAAGCTCAAATCTGATCTGCTGTTGCACCTGTGATGTAGGATATCGATCAGGTAATTTGGACCCCGATGCTTTCGAGTTTGACCGGATTCGGTTATTTGCAAGGGTCGGGTCGATAAGACAGGATGAGACTTGGCTGTATGCAGGATGATGTCATCCTGTTGGCATGGGTGTGCATACTCCAATCATTTTGCTGGTCTCTTCGGTTTCCTGTTGACCGCTTTCCCAATCCTCATCTTCGTTTACCACTTTCTCTCTCTCTCTTTCTCATTCAACCTCAACCTCAACAAGACCAATGGTAATCCAATCGCCACCTCAACCTATCAATCCCGTCACCGGTTCTCCCCGCAACTTGCAATCTACCCCAAATTATGAACAACAGTCACTCCCAAGAACTTTGACCTCAACCAGCAACATGAGCGTACCCAGGTCTCAAAACCGCCTGCCCTCTCGAACCCGTCCTTACATACCCTCTCAGTTCTACCAACAATCCGAACACTCGCCTCATCTGCAGCCGAACCGGGAATCAACACCACTTTCGTTCCATAGCAGCCATCATCAACCTCCTCACTCACGCCCACCCCCATCCAACCAAGCCATCCCAATACCCTCAGCGATCCCGCCTATCGTTCCTCAACAAGATGCTACTCCGCTCCCGACCCTGCCGATCGTGGTACTCTGCTTTGCAATGATATCCGAATTCTTATCTGCCTCCGTCTCCGGTCCATTTATCTTCTTCATGATCGAAGACTTTGGGGTCGGTGGGGGTGAGGCCGCCGTCGGTTTCTGGGCTGGGATCGTGTCTTCAGTCTTCTTCTTAACACAGTTTCTGACCTCCTTACTCTGGTCGAACGTATCTAATAAACACGGTCGACGGGTCGTCCTCTTCAGCTCCTTACTTGGAAATGCTATCACATTGATCCTCTTCGGATCCAGTACCACACTCGGAATGGCTATCTGTGCCCGACTCGGTCAAGGTATCTTCAACGGCGCGATCGGCGTTGCTCGAGGTGCTGTCAGAGATCTCACCGATGCCACCAACGAGGGGTCGGCCATCGCCTGGATCGGTTTATGTTGGGGAATGGGTGGTATTGCCGGTCCAATCATTGGAGGTCAGCCTTCCTAGGATTAATGATCTTATCTTGCTGCTTTGCGCCTCTAGTGAAGCCACGCGTCCTGATCATTCACTCGCTCTGTCTTTGTTCGAATCCCATTAGGTTTACTCGAGCATCCTGCTGAAAACTACCCTGCTTTGTTTGGAAGGTTTCAGTTGCTGAAAGATTACCCATACCTGTTACCATGTACTGTAGCAAGCTCCATCACTTTCCTTGGCGCAATCCTCAGTCTCTTCTTGGGCTGGGATGGAGGCTACCGTACCGGCAAGATTCAGTTGACGGACTCCAACAAGCTCGACCTGGCTGACCAATTACTTGACGCTGAAGAGCAAGAGAATGAAGAATCACTTGCCTCAAACGTTCCCCGAAGCCACCAAGTCGGTCTTTTGCGACCCTCCAACCTACAAGCCATGTCGATGGGCAATGCTAGTACTCATTCTCTTGCCACCGCCAACACTTCCAAGGATCTTTCACGATCTATCGTTATCAAGGATCCGCTAGCTATTTCTCGTACCACAACTCGCCAGTCCAACGCTTTCGTACCAGGATCCGCCTATGGCTATGATCGTAATTCTACTATTTCACGGCGACCGTCTAATTGGCGCCATTCCGGACACATGGGTAGTATCAGAAGTCACCTTTCCACGATTCATCGCCGAAATAGTCGCGCTATCAGTTTGGCCAGAAGCTTTGGTGAAGGAACTAACTACGCCCCGGATTATGAGGACCTCAATGGCGAAGAAAATGTGCCCGCTCTAAACTTCGCTCAGCGGTATGACTACTCAAGCTCAATCGATTGTCTTGTCAATTAAGCTAAGGCTCACTGCTTGGATCTTGTTTTGGTACTATTTATAGATTGCTTTTGGCGAACGAAGACGCCGTCTTTGGTTTACATGATGTCTGGTTGGCAGCAGCCACAACACAGGATCGTGATGACGAGTACAGTCAAATGGACGTCGACGAGCAAGAGCCTTGGGACGGCTCGATTTTTGCGGATGATGATTCCAGATCAAATGACCCTGGGACCAGCTTTGAGGACGAGGCAAGTTCATCTGGCCCCAGCTCATTTGATGAACGAGGCCGTTCCTACTTGCTGCAGCAACAGCATCCTCCCAGTCAACGTTTTCAATCGCAATCTTCCAGGCGTCAAAGTGTAGGCACAGGAGCGGCTCGTCAACCAAGGCCTCAAAGCGGACTCAGTCCCCGCCATTCATTTGCCGATGGATCTAATCCCTTGCCCCCCGCCAGCGCTGTGCCTCCTTGGCTTGATCCAAAGATGAGGACAACCAGTATGGCATCTTCCATCCGACCTGCTATCTTCGGTAACACCGGACTTGCCACTCCACGGTCCATGTCACAAGCACCTTTTGCAGCTCCACAATCCAAAGTCTCAAACACTGCACGTGAAGGGAATGCTACGTTAACAACGGGTACTGAGCCAGCAACAGCTAATCTCAGTGTAATTCCTGAAGGTGGAATTTCGTCTGGCGGCCAAGCAAGTGAAGCAACCACGATAGATGGTAATCTAGCATCAAGCATGGAAGAACTGGAGAAACCAACAGGCTTGTTCAAGCAATTGCCATTGGCCATCATTGCTCAATACGCTATATTGGCCTTGCATGGTACCACCTGTGATCAAATTTTCATGTTGGTGGTTTCTTTCTTCAACCAATTTGATTACTTCGGTCGGCTGACCATCGATGCCTTCCCTTTAGGTCGTTCTTGGTAACTCCGATTCGCTCTGGTGGACTTGGACTGTCAGCTGGGCATTATGCTGAATTGATTGCTGCTGTGAGAACTTGACTTTCTTTTCTATGTGAAAATGAAACATGTAGCTGTCTTGGGAACCTGGACTAACGAGTATTGCCCTTTGCTGACCAAAAAACACAGATGTGCATCGCACAGATTGTATTTCAGTTCAGATTTTACCCCACCGTCGGGCCGCCGCGTGGACAATTAACCCATCTCTCGATGTTTAGATTAGGGCTGTGTTTATACATACCTGTTTACATGTTACTACCGGAATTGAGAGGACTTCTGCGAGAGAACCATAATGGGTTGGTGATGTTTGGAATGATCTTGTTGTGCACTTTCCGATGGCTTGGGAACGTTTGTGCTTACACTTCAGTGATGGTCATGAGTTGAGTCCAGAACCCTTTGACACCAAATCACACCTGTTATCGCATACCAAGAAAACAATTGATGCTAACTCATCTCAATTTTCTATTGCGGTTACCTTTCAGTCAATGCTCAAACTCCTCCTCATCTGATCCCCCTAGCTAATGGGTTAGCTCAGAGTGCTGTGAGTGCGTCTCGATTCGTTGGCCCTGTCTTCGGAGGAATGGTTCGTATTTTTTTTTCTCCTATCTCCCTTGTTATTTTTTTGACAACAAAAACACATGATTGATGGATCTTGACTCTTTTTGTGTTCGGGCTTTAGGTGTGGTCTTTTTCGATCACCCCATCACCTGATTACAGACCGTACCCTTTCAACAACTCGTTTGGATTTTTGGTGGTCTCGATCATCTGCTTTATTGGTACTGCTTTTCTTTCTTTTCATGCCCACCAAACCATAGTTAATTGTTTGCACTGACCTTTTGTTTCATACACGTGTTTCTCTCTTTGTTGGCTTTCCTTCTCTGCAGGACTTTCTCTTTCGTTCAAATTGAAGTAAATCGAAGATCCCAAGTCACTCACTGAACTAACCTTGGCAGCCCAACCCAAAGACCTATCAATTTGTGACTCCCAATTCTATTTGATAGATGTACATATAAAAAGACCTGTACAGATTTTTACTTTTTTCTCATAATGGCCAGTCAGCTTACTTTCATCTTCACAATAAAACTTTTTAATTAGCTTCAAAAATTCAGCCGGTGTTATACTACAACCTCTGTGTGTATAACCAGTTCAGTTCTTTCCCTTCTATTCACCTAATCGTTCATCTCGAGCTCTGCTCTCTTTTGCCACTCCTCTTCAACCTTCAATCTTTTGTCTTCATCACCGTCACCACTTTCATCAACCTCATCATCATCTTTTTGATACTTGTATGAATAGACTTCATCATTGGTTATATACACATTTCCTACGTCTCATATACTGCCTTTTTCTTCTTTCTCGCCGCTTCTTTTTCAAGGATGATTGTCTTTAACTGCCAATCCTCGCATTTTTTTGGTCTTTAGTTTCTCCTCTTTTCTATCTTTCTGGATGCTTTCCTGTCCTCCTATCTCTTAGATTTTTTGCTTTCTCCTTGTCTCAATGTTGATTCCTTTTGTCTTTCCACTTTCAGTCCCAATTCCATCCAATGTTGTGCTTTCTTTGCTATGTGCTTCAATGGTGTCTTTTTTTTTGAGGGGGGAGAGAGATTGGCACTTGATGTATTGCTGTAAAGATGTATTGCTTTGGGGTTGAGTACATGTGCACACTGGTTGATCAAACTTGAAGGGTTTATTGGCTCAGTCCCTGCAGAAACACACTGATGAGCTCAAATTACCCCACAAAGATGTAGACTTTTTGATGAAATTTTAACCGGAGATGAAGAGAATTTTTGGGCAACAAAAACAAGTTTTTGTTGGAGAGGCTCAAGGATCAGAAAAAGAGAGAAAGAGCCAATGTTTTTTACTTGCAAGCAGAGCCTATGCGTTAAATAGACTACGTACAACAAGTTAGACATGTGGTTGAGAAAAAATTGGATATAGAAATGAATAACAGTTTAGCATATGCATGTACAGCAAGCACAGGAAAGCTTGCGGTTTCGCGAGCTAGAAAATCTGGACCAAACATTTTTCCTACCTCACGCAACCGCCTGTATATCTTCCATTTCTTCCATTCCTTCCGCATACTTCCCACCCATTCCCTCTCTACTCCTCACCAGCCATGGCCCCCGATCCCGGCCCCCTCCCCTCCAGCCCCAACCACAACCAGCCATTGGTCAAAAACCCATACCATCGCTTCTGCCAAGCCATCCTATCCCAACATTCCCAATTACCAGGCCCTTTCCAACCCGTCAGGATCAAAATCGTAAGTTACGGTCTTCCATGGTCACTGGACATGTTTTGGCAATGAGACTGACCCCAACATGGATTGCGAAGGTCATTTCTATGGCTGGTTCCTCCGATCTCAGCGGCCGAGTCCCCCCCCTTCCGTTTGAAAACGCCCCCGACGGCTTGCAGGAGTCGTGGTTAGGCCCTTCCCAAGCAGCCAGCCGCAATGCCGAGTCCTTCCGCGTGTTCCATGACAACCCGTGCACCGAAAGCCAATTCAGGAATGCTTACAATGCGTCGGATGGCCGGGCGACAGGCTTGGAGTCGGCGCCAATGAGGCCTCAACTACGGCCCTTATATCTGGACTACCAGGTTTACCATCGATCCGTGGCCAGTCAGCTCGGCCAAAGCTCCGGGGCAAATGAATGGTGTAGTGTGATCCCTCCGAAAAAGTCCGAGACCGTTTGGAAGGTCGATCTGTCTTACTATTCGTGGGACCTTTGTAAGCAGGAGATCATTTTCTTGTGCGGCCCGACTCGTGAACATATTGATAAACACCTCCGGCGGCTTGAGGCGGAGGGGTTGCTCAAATGGCAATGCATCCTCCATAGGGACGGAATGTTTGCGCAGAACAAAAACTACTTTGCGACGAATGACGAGGATTTTGCCCCGTTTGTCCAGGCTTTCAGCAATAATTTAACGAACAAGGCGATGATTAAGATCATCATGGAAGATCCGAATAGGTCCGCCAAGGACTCCGAAGAGGTATGTGGGGTGACGCTGTGTGTTGTTTGTTGGTCACTTGGCTGACTCAATTGGTCCTCTGATGTACTCAGGCTAAAAAGGTCAACGACAGTCTGGCGTTGAATTATGCAGACGAGGACACCCGCCTGGCCTTGCAGCGGGTGCATACCCGCCTGGCTGTAAATGTAAGTATTCGGTTCCCTCTGCGTTTTGCGATGCCCTGCTGACCGTGCAGGCTCTCCCGATTAGCCCAAGTCAGATGTCAGTGCACAGGAACGAGGCCGACTAGTGGCGGAGATCACGCGTCACATCAAGGGCAAATACGGATGTGACGCGGAGTCAATGCGCATGCGTGATCCTGTGGACCCCAAGAGATCGATCCGCGTTACAACTGAAGCCCTCCGGGCCTGGAGTCGGGCAATGCTCCACGGGGAGCCTGGGGTCGACTTGGATAACCCGCCGAAGTGTAAAGAGTGTACACCTGAGGATGTGGCCGTGCTCACTCTGGATGAAATGGCCGCAAACAGGAAGCTCGACTGTCCCGGCACAAGAGGACATCATCCCCAGCAAAGCCGACGTCGTCGGCCGTCAAGTCGCCGTTGAAGTCTCCAGCCGTTGGCCCTGTTTTTGGGTGACAAACCTAGTGGATTGTTCTTCACGCCGCCCCGCCGTTCCGCCTCTGGTCGCATCCTTGCTCCTCGACTGATGACCGGGGATCCGGGCCAATCACATGACAGCACGGCCGCCGCTCCCCGCCGGTCATCCAACCTCTCGAACAGCACCTCCATCTCAGTCCGCAGCAATACGCCCGCTGTCCGCGTGGACCTGGGCGCCTCCAAGGGCTATGAAGACCTCACTGAGCCTGGCGATGAGCACGAGGTCAGCTGGCGAACGTCGACCCCAGTCGAAGACGATGTCCCCAGGGACGTCAGCACCCAGGGTACGGACATCGAGGTCCTCCCGTCCGGCACTATCCTTCGGTCCCCCTCGCGCAAGTTGGCTCGTAGTCCCGTAGGCGAGGGAATCGTTCACAATTTCAGCAGGCTTGAATTCGAGCGGCCTCGGTCCCCGTCAAGATATCTGTCGGTTTCTCCAACTCGCAAGCGGCCTGGATCCCAGGCCTCGTTGTCGTACCCTTCGGTGGACATGACTGATAAGGCCCCTTTGAATGAGCTGGGTCGAGCGCTCACTATTGACGATTTCTTGGGACTCTGCAATTTCACCGACGACGACCACATTCCTAGGGTGTTGATCTCCCTCAACCACATTCGCCGATGGGATTTTTTCCTCAACACTAATTTCTATGTACTCCAAAAGATGGGATTCCCTTACCCCATAGCCACACAACTATTGAAGGGGGCCAAGTGGCTTGAGGCCACACACGTTCAACTTGACACCGCGGGAATACGCCCTGCTGAAGCATCCGCAGCACACGCGTCTGTGGACGGACTAGGACCCAAGTCCGTCCCTGATCCTGCCCACGGTTCTTCATCTGCCGACGATGCGGGCGCTCCGCCGGTTGCGGGGCCATCAGGCGCCCGTGTGGCCTCCCGTGCGAGCAATTCCGAGTGTCCGGAATCTATCCCTGATTCGAACGAGGCCGACAACAATACCCCAAGCCTTGGAGGAGGAGGGGCAACCTCGGATGCTGATTACCAACCGTCGCCCGAATATTGATGTGAACTCAGGATTCCTTGTATCTCATGCCCCTTTTGTTTTCCTCATCCCGATCACTTGTTTTCCTCATGTCCCACGTGTTTTCCTCATGGCCTTTTCCTCCCTCTTCCGATGACCCCATTCTGGACATGCTGTTTTTTTTTCGTGCCCCCAGCTTGTACGTCCGGTCTATCTACCTTTTTTTTTCTCAGCAATGAACTACTGTGGGTGTCAAATAAACTGCCTCTGGTGTGGTCGGTGGGCCGCAGGCAAGCTCAAAGCCACCGCGAGTCTGCATGATAGAGATTTCGCTTAGACTGCCCAGCTGTTTGGGGTTCGGCAACAGAATGCCCAGCTGTTTCTCGTTCGGGAACTGCCAGCTGTTTCTCGTTCGGGAACAGTTTGCTCGGCCCAATTTGTACGGTCAGGAGCTCCTCAGCCCATTGATTATGCTCAAGTAGGGTTCACATTGCAATGTCACATGGTATTGAACTCAGTGGGTCAGGTCGGACTAACTAACAGTGTGATCAGAATAATGGGGCCATATAAATGGCAACATACAACCAAGTACAACCAAGTGGAAGGACAGATGAAACAAGGAATCGGTCTAATAAGGCCATACCTGAGAGGCGGGACAGATGAACCAAGCAAGAGGGAAGGCACCAAGGGCCATTGAGTCGGGTAGGAGGCGACCAGGCGGAACAAACGACAAACAAACCCCAGGACCAATGGGCAAATGAGCCCCCGAGAACGAGAAGAAATCCGGTTTCGCCATCAAGCCCTATAACCGCACCCTCGGAAAAGCCCTCGCATTAACTCTGGGGTGACAAACGATGGTAAGAAGTCCTTGATAATCTCCGCATCCTCTGACGTGCCAGTCAATATCTCGGCTCGTTTTAATTTCGACTTGAGCACAGAGAATACTTTCTCAATCGGATTGAGGTCGGGCGAGTATGCGGGAAGATAGAAGAGGAGGACGTCGGCGGCGTCACAGATCTCCGTGATTCGGCCCCCGTGATGAATAGGTGCGTTGTCCATGACAAGGATACTGTTTGGACCTGGGAACGGATTCATGACCGGTATCTACCGTCATCCCAAAGAGTGTGAGCCTGCTTTTGTCGAGACAAAGAGAGAATCAAACGAGCCGCGAAAACTCACCAACACCTCTTCGATAAAGTATTCCATGTCAAGACGGCACATTGTGCCTTCTTGTGCAATACTAGCCAGAACACCGTTGCAAGAGACCACCGGCAATACGGAGATTCGACTTGCTCGCAAAGGCTTAGGCAACCTTTGAGTGCGACGGCCGCGGGGAGCCCAAGCTCGGGCTCGTGAGTGCGTCCCAAGGGATACTCCACACTTGTCTGCGGGGAAACCAAGTCAGCAGGGAGATAACCTCGGGGTAAGTATGAGCTGTCCAACATACAACACGAGGTAGTTTGCAGCAAACGCCCCGATCTCGTCAGCATAGCCGGCCCGAGCCAGCTCGCTCTGATTCGGGTTCACAGTCCTTGCGACCTTCTTGGTCATGTTCAGACGGCAATGCAACTCGGCCAAAATGGTGCTCGAGGGGTGGAGGGTGCCTGTCATCGCCTGAATGTGGCTCTGGATCTCATCCACGTACAAGGTGGGTTCGGCTTCGAGTGCGTTCATGACAAAATCAGCCTCCTTGCCGGAGAAGGCCAACGGGCGTCCTCGGTCCAGATAGAGGCTCGGATCGCGCACCACATCGGCCGTTTGTCGGTAGAGCTGAACCCATCTGGCCAGCGAGTCCGGAGATACGGTGTATCCAATCGTGTCGTTTATATAGTTGAGGGATTTTCCACCCAGGCTCATTTTCACAACAATGGCCTTGACGTCGCGGGCATACTTGACAAAAACCATCCTGGCTGAAAATAAACTGAATCAGTGAGACAGACCTGTCAGACGCAGGGGAGGAGATAAGGAGACCAACCAAATTCTGAAGTCGTCTGATCAAGAAGCGATTGAATCGACGACAAGAAATGGATTGAAAAAATTGTAGCGATCCGATTACGGTGGTGGGTGGCTGGCTGGGCTTGTTGGGGGGTTGGGGCAACCGGCGGCTGGTTGTGGTTGGGGCTGGAGGGGAGGGGGCCGGGATCGGGGGCCATGGCTGGTGAGGAGTAGAGAGGGAATGGGTGGGAAGTATGCGGAAGGAATGGAAGAAATGGAAGATATACAGGCGGTTGCGTGAGGTAGGAAAAATGTTTGGTCCAGATTTTCTAGCTCTCGAAACCGCAAGCTTTCCTGTGCTTGCTGTAAGATTTGACAGGAGCAAACACTCATCAATAAAGACTAGACCCAGGTTCAAAGACTACAGGGATTTCAGCACTAGATAACAAGAAAAGATGCCACTCAGACAAGCACAAAACATAGCTAAAACATATTTTTTATTTTGTATAATCAATGAATTATGAAATGTAGGGATTCGGGAACAAGGATTTTTAGGGATGAGAAGGAAGAGACAAAATTCCAACACTTTTACATATCTGAAGTGACTCCTTCAGGAGCTTTGTCAGGGACTCCAAATTTCTAGCATGAAAGTGGTTTGACTGAATGTTATTTATGGTCTTGCAAGTGTGTCTGGGCACAATCCAAAGTCCTGCTTGGCTGGGTGCCACCTGTGGTCTGGAATGTGCCCAGAGGGCTTGATCATGCAGGTTGGGTGGGGGGCAGGCAATGTGTATCCTACCCCCTCAGAGCATCATCATTGGTTCAATAAGTTGACGCGAGTTTTAACTTGCATGAATTGGCAAGTTAACTTATCAACCCCCATTCAGTCACACCAGTGTAGTTTGTGGGGTGTGATTGAAGTGGTGGTGGGTAGTGTGGGCAGGTGGACTCCAAGTAGGAGTGATTGCACTCGCTAACTCCGTTGGTAACCATTGATACAGTTACCAATGGTGAGCTGAAAACCAACCATCAAGGCAAGTTATCACCAACTTAGGTTGGTCCGGTGCGGTTGAAATTTGGTGGTAAGTAGCTTAACTCAAGGTAACTTAGTGGCCGATAATGATGCTCTCAACAAGCAGCTAGCACAGTATTATACTAATTATGTACCCCCCCCCCCTCCCAATTGATGTGTGAAGAGAGAGATGAGGAAAGTTCAAGTACACAGTCAATGAAGGGGTGCATTGAAGGCTTTGTCCTGACCCCCACCAACTTTGGCATGTGCCAATCAGGGGTTGGGAGGGTTCCACACACACTTCAGGGTTGGCCAAGTGGGCTTTGGGATTGGCCCGGCGTGCTTGGCCTTTTTTGGCCAAAGTCTGGTGTGTGCCCAGACGGGCTTGCAACACCACATGCAATCAAGAAGTGTTGAATCTTGTGAAACTACTCTCAATCACCAGCCTGTTCCTGATTATTGCCAGTGTGTTTCAAGTTGTCTGCACAATTGAGGCCCAATCTGTGTCCTTACCCCACCCAGTGAAATGTTAGTGAAGCCTATATGCACAGGAAGTTAGGAACTGAGATCTGGGGCAGAGTCTCAGATTGAAGCCCGCCTTCTTTGGGCTTGGATTTCTTCACCTTTTTTTTCCTCTTCTCAATTGGATTGTGGCAATAGGAAAGCAAGCTGGAAGAGAAGAACCATGAAAATGAAACGATCAAGACACACTCACAAACACACCTATATATTTTGAAAATATGTATTTTTTCTCCAAATAGTTTGAATAACAAAGGAACCTCCACAAGCTGACTATGCACTCCACAGAATCATGAACCCCCACTCTTCTTTTCTTCTTTTTCCATTTTCTTTTGTCAATCCAGCTATTCCAGTGGGAAAGGCTGTCCAATCCAAAATCAAAAAAAAATCATCCTCAAGTTGTTGTTTCTTCTTCTTCTTTTTCCTCTAGTTGTAATATGCATAGACTGCATTAAATCAACAGGAATCAACAGACTTGAGATGGGGCATAATGTTTGACAATGAACATGAAAAACAAAACAAAAAAAAGAGGGGGGGGGGGAAGAAAGAGTCAACAAAGATTGTTTCTGGTTTGTGTTTCAAGATCATTTTGATCATTCTGAAAGTTGTGCAAATCTGGGCAGATCAAAACAAGTGCAAATTTTTTTTGTAGAGCATGTATAGTTCTAAGTAGTTACCAGTACCAAGAATGCTCTTCATGTCTGCTTTTTCTTCTTCCTACCCTGAATAGATATAACCCTAAAACCCTAAAACCCGAACCCCCAATAGCTAACCCCTAACCCCTTAAATTGGAGTTGCTTCTGGTGGGGCTTGACCCCGCAAGCTGAGGGGAGGAGGAAGGAAGGCTTTTTGCTGACTAGAAATACACAAAGACTGGACTGAGAATTTGGTGGACATCACAGGGTGGCACTGGGCTGGACGAGCTGGTTTTTTTTTGATGGGGATGATTGTGCAGGAGCTAGCTGGGGCAATCTGGTTTCACAAATGATGAGCAGCTGGATGGGATGCACACTTCACTAAGTTCTCCCTCCTGGGCATGAAGCACCACCCCTCCAAAGGAATGAAAGAAAAAAAAAAACTCTTTTTTTTTGGTATGAGAGGGTTTTCAGAATCAGAAGGGATTTTTGAATTTTTTTTTTTTTTTGAATAATTTTTGAATTATACAATTGAGGTATGGTGGAATGGAAAAAAAAAACATAAGGGCAGAGGAGAGGCCTTGGCTTGAGCTTGCTCTTCTCCTTGCCAATTCTGGTGGCTCTTTGATATATGGATATGTATGGTATATTGTTCAATCAACAAAAATCCAAAAAAAAAACACAAATCAAAATCAAATTATCAATACAAGAGAGACACACACACACATTGTGTATATAATCTGTCAATGAATTGAGACATTGTCTGGATACACAGATCACATTTCTCAAACAACCCCCCCCCCCCTGCCCCCCAAAGAAAAAAGAAAAGAAAATGAGTGTATGAAGACAACGTGAAAATATATCAATCTGTTTAAGTACCAACACTTGTTGAGCATATATATATTTGTATATTAATGTATGAGGGTACTTGCCCCACATACATTCCTACCTACAAAAAACATATAAACATTCATATAATGATCTACCGATGAAACCCAAAAGGAAAAGAACGACTGGAGTGACAGGGCTCAAAGCCAACCAAACAAAAATCATCCACACAAAAAAGAACTGTCTAAAGAGAAAAGAAAAACCCCCCTACAATGAGGTCAAGAGAGCCCCCCCCCCCCCCAAAAAAAAAAAAAAAGAGAAAAACAAAGAAAAGAAAGTGATGGGTTTTGTGGTGGTGGTGGGTTGAAGGAAACAAAGATGAAATGGAATGAGAGAGACAGTCTGTTATCTGTTAGTTTGAAAAGAGTGTCCGAAGATGAGGATATTCCCCGAGATACTTCTTCTGATATAGAAAGGAAAAAAGGGAGGAGGAATTGATAATGTGAATGTAAGGTGATAATATACGGGGAATAACAGCCCATTCCATCCCTCCTCTTTTGGGTTGGTTTCTTGGGAACCCCCAACCAAGGAGCCTCCCTC